GTAACGAAGAGATGAAAAAGGCTGGAAACTGGTGTTGGTCAATGTATTTTCATGAGGATTTTCATGATATTTAAAAGGGGAGAAAATAAATGCCATGAAAACAAGTAGAGGTTGGAATTTTGTTTAGTTATCGCATGTCAGAGATCTGGTGACGATATTAAGGCGCTAGAAAGAGGCTAATATTTTGGGGGCCACGGTTTTAGCTAAAACCGTGGCCCCCAAAATATTTTTCTCACCTTGCCTTACACGTGTTAAATTTTTCACAAATTTTTCACAACTTCGCCTGTTCCTGTTCGTAAGTCCGGCCAAGCCTTTACGGTCATCGGCCCCTGTAACTTTGGCTTATAAATACAGGCATTTAGTTATACTTGTAAAACTCCCTGAAGAAGTCTACGACAGTTAGACGAAACGCGTAGGAAAATACAAGAAGTTTTACAACTACTGATCGCAGAAGTGCTGCTCACTATATTGAAAAAATCTGTCAAGACCTCGGGCCGATATTTTCCCAGTACGGCCCTCGCGCTTGGTTAATAAGATATATATATCGTTAGACAGTAAATAGTTCAAGGACAATGAATAAATCTTCTAATTTACTATTTTCGCTGGAATTCCAAAAAAACGCTATAAATATTTTTGTCACACATATCAATTAAAGCTTAAAATTCATATTTCTATTAATAAAAAAAATTAATATTATTTCTAAAAAAGTTAGAGAAAATCAGTGTCCATAAAAAACTTCACTGAAGCGAAAAAAAATATTATATCATAAAATAAGTTAGAATTAGTATTAGGGCTATTTGGAATTTTTGTGCCCATTGTCTCCATAAAATATTCTTTAGTCTACAAGAAGGTCAGTCTAGACCAAAATCTTAGCCTACTTACTTACCAATTAAAAGCAGCACTCATCCTAAATTTGGACTGACTGATGATAACCAGTCAAACTATTAACAATTTCACCTTTTTCCACAGAAAGTATTAAGTAAAAGAACAAAAACAGAAAAGACAAATCAGTTTTGGTGGGTGGCAACTAAAAAAAAAAAGACAAATTGAAAAAAAAATTGAAAAAAGATCAGCTGATTTAACAAATATCTAATCTTGCCACATTAATTTTAGGTATTTCATTGTCAGTCTTTACAATCTTTAAGCTTTCGAGTCAGCTTCATTGCACCCTTTACTATCTTGGTGAACCAATATAAGTTTATTATGTCCAGCACAATGCAAGTAGAAATCCAGTAAAAATTAATAAGTGCACCCAGCTGCTGTTGCTCATCACTTCCCCAAACCAAATAACACTTGTAATAGTAAATGGGCATCATTAGTATGCGGCAGAAGAAGAAGGAAGCCCCCATCACATAACCATTGATGACGAAGCTGCTAGATGACCTGGGATGACCAATAGCATCAAAAAACCACCTTTGGGAGGCAAAGAAGTATAAAATAAAAAAAAAAGAAAAGAAAAGGTATCAACATGTGAAGACATCAAACAAAAAGGTACATGAGTGTGAGCAAAATAATCTCAACAACTAGATTCAATGTTTTTGTGCCTCCAATCAGTAATAGTTCACAGAAGACTTAAAAATGTGGTAAGTGCAAAAAAGTGGCTCATGTTAGGTACCGCTGAATGCATGGTTGCGCTCTGAGAAAAATTGAACTCAAGGGAGCCCAGTGCTCTGAAACTGTGAAATCCAGGGTGCCCATTATACGTTGTATGAAAAAAACTAAGATTCTTGAGTCACCCAAGAGCAAAAGGAAGGTGCCTGGGCCACCCGGCACTGCTAGACTACAACCCTGGAGTGTGTAACTGTTTTTCTTACCACATAGGGGGGTAAGAAAAAGTTACTGACAGTTCCTCCATAGGCAGTCCCCCTGGCCGAGACTGACTGCTGTAGCTAAGACCAATTAGACTAATCAACCTTCAGTTGGAAGGTCTCAGAAGTTTAGGAAAAGCAACAGATGGACAAAATGAAAGGAAATGGAAGGAGAAAATCCTAACCATGTGATAGCAGAAGAGTTACCACCATGTGTAGACATGGAAATGTAAATTTAGACAGAAAATCTGATGTTAGCCCTACATGTAGAATAGAATGTAGAAAAGGTAATTTCCAGCAAAGGAATTTTCAAGCAAACTAACCTCTGATTCACAAATGGTGTGGAGATCTCTGCAAGTTGACGGACATTAGCAAAATAAGGCAAAACCCCATTGACCTACAAAGGCAAATTGATCCCTTACTACCTACATGTAAATGAAGCTGCATGTACATGTTGACCTTTGGGACTATTCATTGATCACTATAAGACCAACTACTACAGATTAAAATAGTATTTATTACTTCTCAGCTATAGACTAAAAGTTTTATTAACCAAAGGTATTCTAATGTTACATTTGTTGCCAGTAGATGTATCTTACTTTTGTGGGGACTAAAATCACCATGATAATTTTGTTTGTTTGTTTTTCAAACAATAACTAAAAAGTTTGCATTTAAGTATGTGTGCATTCATATACAAAGAAGCCTTTGATCACATGCATGTAGAAAGCGTACACCAGTCTTACCACAACGAAATAATATGCTGATATTGCCATGAGGTGGTGAACCAAAGTGAACAAATCTCCTATGTATTTATAGGACCAAACTATGATAAGGAAATCTGAAACAATCAACATGAAGATGTAAATATAAAAGCAGTGAGAGCTACAATTACGATGTATCAATTGAACCTTGTGCACAAAAATGGTTCACATCTATAAAGTATATTTCTGATAGATTGATTGTTTATTTCTGGCAAACTAGAGGTCTAGTTAATTTCTGACTTGAGTGCTGTTGATTTGTTTAAGTTGAGAGGAAAGAACATGGCAAGTAAATGTAAACAGATTAATAAGTGTAGAAGCCATTACAAAGATCAGTCACATGCATGGTTGAGAATCATATCATGTTGCACCATGGGAGCAATACTAGCAAGCACTGTGATACTTTGGAATACTTCATGGATTCCATTACAGTTCACATCCACAAATGCCCTTATAATGCGAGTTGCCAAAAATCTTGGAGCCATATGGCCATCCCTTTTCAAAATAATTGTGATTGCAAGTGCCCCTGAGGAACTTTGTATTGTCAAACTTTCATTGTGTTTCATGCCAAAGTCAAATTGTACTTTATTCAGTCTGAGGAATTAGTCACTGCTACAATCAAGAGAAATTAACAGAAAAAAAATTGACATCACATATATCATGAAGTAAATGGAAACATGTTCAAAACCAAGACCAGCCAGCCCGCAGGAATAGGCTCACAGAGAGTTACCAGGTATTCCAATATTTGTACTATTGCAACATAATATTCAAAGCATAAATTATACAAAGTCAATTACCTGCTAAAATGTACCCTAATGTAATGGCTACCCCCACTCTCACTAAAACACCATCATTTCTATAAAGAAAGGAAGAGAACTGCAGCAAACGTATTTGCAAAAAATGATGATTTTACAAATACAGTATAGCCTCGATTATCCAGTCTTCCATTATCCCGATCTTTGATTAACAACACTCACCTCTACCCTCCCATTTTTTAATTAGAGATATGCAATGACTTTTTCCATTCACCCAACTTCAAAGAATGAAAGAATTAGCTACCTGCACATGCTGTAGCTACTTCGACCCACAGCTATTTAGGTTGTAAAACATCATTGTTGTAAAATTTATTTTGTAAATACTTTCAATTAACAAATTTTGGCAATGATGCACAGTGATTTGAGAATGCACCTTAACCTTTTGCCTAATATTGGTATTCAGTTTTATTTTTGGCTTATTAATAGCCATACTTTTGATTGTCCTGACTTTTGATTTCTAATTTTTCAGCCCAGTCCCCACAAGTCCACATAATCAAGGTTTGACTGTATATATACTTAAATTATACAATGTCAACCATTTTACACGTGTTTTCTACATACATTAATTCTTCGTTAAAGCAGGGGTTTCATTAATATTTTCAGCAGGAGGGCAACTGGTTTTCACAGGCGGGCAAAACTTTTTGAACTAAATTCTTTATAAGATAACCCTTCCTCCAGATTGTTAAACCAGGTGGGCAAAACCGTCCTTACAACCAATTTGGCTGGTGCCCGGCCCTTAATGAAACCCCTGTTAAAGGCCATTAATTTATCAGTTCACACTATGAATCCTTGTTAAATACAGTTCATCATCATTATCGCAAAGTCAACCAAATTAGCTTATAAAGAAATGCAATGTACCTTATAGGATTGGATGTTGTCTCTGGATCAAATAAGAAGCAATACAAACTGATTGTGCTGACAACCACTGCATGCAAATTTGAGCCAATCCTGCAAGAAAGGAAGAGCTGCTTGTTAAAAACACTTGAAAAATTCTACTTACCATGCAGAGGTTCATTTATCAGTTATTATATTATTTCCTATTGATAGATCTTTTTATTGATTGCGCCTCTGTCTGACAACACTTTATTCATGAACATGTACTGTAATTTGTACATGTAGGTACCATAAAACAAAGTAAACTAATATTATCCTCCCAAAGAGGGTCATCAAAGTTCTCTACACGTTGTATCCCCCTTTACCTACTATGTAGACTTTTCATTGCTTGCAAATGGCACTTTTGATTGTTTGTTTATCAGATTGGAACTATCATGATCAAACATCAATTATCATAGCCAGTTTGTTTACAAGGAAATGTGAGGCAGCTAGAGAAGGAAATTATCAGTCAGATCTTGGGGTTTACCTAATGGATTAATTTTTCTTTGCCAGCAAACTCTCTTAGATTTAAACTATTCAATTATTTATTACCTTTCAGAGAAGGAAACTGTTTGGGAACACGATTGTCTAACACGATTGTCCAACACCATCATTTTGGATGGAGTTGGAAAAGAAGGAAAATAAATGAAAATAAGAAAAGGAAAGGCTGAATGAAAATAAAAAGTGGAATGAGAATACAGCTGATGAAAAATGGAGAGAGAGCTATGAAAGAGTGGTATGCTTGTCAAAGACAGTTTACAACACTGAACATATTACCAAACCCATGGTATTTAAATGACTTGTTTGATTGCACTGCAAGCTACTGTGGATGTGGAGGAGCAGTAAGAAAGAGAAAAAAGTTGACAGGCATTGAAGAGGATCACTTTCATACAGATCATAAAGGCTTGACTCTTTTACTACCAAGATCTGATTGTTAATTCTACCCTCCAGCTGCTAGAAATCTCCTTTTAAATTAGTTTTTGAGAATTTGATGTTAGACAAAGACAACGACTTTAATCTGATAAGATTGAATATTCTCATAATCTATTTGCTGGATAATATATGGATTTTGTGGGGAGAAGTTACATATTCATCACTTCTAAAAGTTATAGGATTTTAGGGGAAGGAGAGGGAATTATAGAAATGATAGAAGGTCTGGTAGTGATAACAATCAGTATAACCTTGTGTCCCAGTCAGTTTTTTTGGTGACACTGAGCCCACAGTATCCTGAGGAAATCCGTGCTGAGAATCTTGGGCTCACAAAATAAAATAAAGTCAGACAGAGTAGAAAACTGGCTGCTGATGTATACACATAAAGACTGAAAATGTTCAAATCCTTCTTGTGTTCATCAGCACCTAAAAGAAAGGGATTAAGAACAAACGATGAAATTACATTTAGTTTTGAACAAAAAGGTTAAATTGACATACCTTAATTTTATATCAAGGACTCAACAAGTATATTTAACCCACTCTTGGTTGGCTTAGTTCATTCCAGGATTTATGACAAATACATTACAGCTAACTTTACTTTGTCAGAGGGGTTGTGCATCATTCACCAGAAAAAGACCATAGACTGAGTTAAAAAAAAAGAAGAAAAAGAAACCCTCAAAGATCTCATTTGCTTTATTGGTAATTCTCCTTACCATCTCCCATAGAATTTTCATGATGTCCATTAAAAGAATTAGGGTTTGGATCAACTTATAATCCCCTAATTTATATTTTTATTTTCTGTCATAATTTTAGTCTGCTTGATATTGAATCAATGTTATAAGGAGAAATTATTGTGTTCTGCTCACTCATGGGAGTTAAAGGGTTCAGGGAAGGGCTTCTTCATCTGTTACTTTTACTTTTCCTCTTCATCGTCACCATCATTATCATCAACATCATCATCGTCCTCTCTAACTTTTTTTCTCATGTCCAAGTTCCTTTCTTCCTACATCTGTCATTCCCTACTCCTCATCATTTGCTTCCACATTCCATTTTGTCACCCTCCATCATCATTCCTTACCCCTCAGTGTATCACCTGTGTAGCCATACCCCTCAACCCTCTGAGCATGTATCCTCATTCTTCACCCCTTTCATAATAATAATAATAATAATAATAAATAGATGCTTATAGGGCGCATTTCTAATCTTAATTAACAGTAATGTTTTTTAAACAAAAATGTCTTAAGCCTAGTTTTGAATGTTTCTACTGTTTCTGCTCTTTTTAATATATTTGGGAATTGAGTTCCATAGTTTTGGTGCAGATACTGAAAAAGCGCGTCCACCATAGGAATTGGATTTAAAAGGTGGGATGCATAACTGTAAGCGAGTTGATGATCTCAGTGTTCTTGATGGGTGGTATTCTTGTATAATAGGTTCTAAATAACTAGTAGATTGCTCATTTAAGATCTTATTAGTTATAAGTTATATCTTAAAATTAACTCTTGCTTCGAGTGGCAGCCAATGTAGACTCTTTAAAATAGGTGTGATATGGTCAGTGTTTCGTGTTCCGGTTATCATACCATTTGACTTCCACACATCTCTCATTCCTCAGCTATCACAACTCACTCTTCACCACTAACTCCTTACCACTGATTCTTCACACCAAACCTATCACATCTTACCATCTATCGCCATCGTACCCCACCCCAAATGTGACTCTGGCCCCTGACTGTCTAAAAGAATGGATTACCTAGCAACCCTTGGTGTATATGAAGCCAAAAACAAACAGAAAAACAAACAGAAAAACAAACAAAAACAGAGAAAAAAGGTGGGGCTGGATGGATTATACTGTAGTATCTTCCCTCCATCGACTGTCACAAACAGAAAAACAAACAAAAACAGAGAAAAAAGGTGGGGCTGGATGGATTATACTGTAGTATCTTCCCTCCATCGACTGTCAAACCGTTCACCAAATTTCACACCATCCAACCTTCTTCGCGTTCTTGTAGGCCGACCACAAAAAAGCCATCATTCAACTGACCACTTAGCGAAGAGGGGAGTAATGTGGAAGGTATACACGTCGAGTCTGTTAACGAGCTCTCCCACACAACGGTGACTGAACATGTCAATATCCCATATACGATAAAAAGCACAAATCAGTAACACTCGAAATGGCAGACGACACTCTTCAGAGCTTGCGCATTCGAGCGATCAATCAGGATGAAATGATCGATCAGGATAAAATTCCTTTACATCCGTCAGGCGCGAGAAGATATTTGAACGACAACAAAGCGCAATAGAGCTTGAGGCGAGTGCTTCAAGAAAGGGACACTTACCATATCCATTCATCTTAAACAAATCCACTCATGAATATTTGTAGTGTGGCGAAATGCGTGGTCAACTATGAAAAAACAAATGGTTATCCATGGCACGTGGCAAGCTGGATGATTTTGTGTCACGCTAGAATTCTTGAGCCTACATACATTCAGCGGCAATGCCTAATCGTTTGGGTGCTCATAACCTTTTTCGTGACTTTTGAAGAAATTGCGATCAAATTATGGATTTCTGGTCGACTTTTTACGTATCTTTGGCAGCGATTCTTTTCTTAGCTTCTTTACTAATACTTCGCACCGTATATGTGTTGAAGAAAAAACGAAATCATGTTCCTTTGGATAGGAGAAAGTCAGTTAAAGTCATGGTGGTTGCCGGCTCAGGTATGCTTATCTACAAGTTCCTCAAGTTTTAAGTGTTACCGAATCGATCCTGTAGTTCTCATTTTTTTGAAAAGTCAGTAGATAAGCAGAATTTTTGTTTCAATTTTTGATCTAATTTTAATATGAGCATGAATTTTAGAGATAAAGGTAGCGGTAATTCAGTGTACCTGTAGATGTAATATCATTAAGAACCCTTTCTCTTCTTGGAATGATCATTTAGTACGTTCTACTGCAAGATTTCTGCACAACCCCATTTTTTACTCTGCATATTGTTCTCGTATAAAGAAAACAATGGCAAAAACAACTGATGCCTTTGAGATATAGCTTTGTTTAATTAAAATAGTATTTATTTATTTTTGTCTATTTTGCCATTTTGTAGTTATAATAGTCATCAGTATTAATAAAAGGAATTACATTCACATTTATTTGATATAATACAACTGAAAACTTAACATGTAGTAAGGAAACCTGTAGAGAAACCAATAAGCTTATGCGAGCTACAGGCTCCTCGTATTTTACAAAGTGAGACATCAGCTATATGGAATAGATATAATGCACATATGTGACTATTTTGTTATACTGTAAGTGTATGATTTTACACCACTAACTAATGGTGTAATTTTTTCTCATTGGTATTATACATACCGTAGGATTTTACGCCATTTACTAACGGCGTTAAATCATACAATATATACAGACTGCGTCAGTGGTGTAAGTTCTTCCAGTTTATAGACGGAGATGATCGCATAACTTGCCATTCTCAGTTGTATGGTGTAATTTAGGTACTGATTATTTAGGATTAAAATTAGAAAAAAAATAAAAAAAAAACAGACACACAGAATAAAGGAACAACAATACCAGGCACTCAACTAGTTTGGGGCTGTACAGAAATGTACCCCATTCTCCCCACAATGTGAGAATGAGAATTAAGAAAATATTTGACAGGGAATGCCTTCTTTTTCTTTTTCCTCTCCCTTCAAAGATACTTCATTTGTCTTGATATAGATAACCATAAGGGTCTGCTTTTAAGAGAATCAGTCATTAGATCAGGGTTTCAAAGGGTTAAATGTACATTGTGTTGCTGATCCAGTCACTTGGACTCTGTGCTATTGTATTAAAAATGGTTACAATATATTCATGATATGTTCTAAGGAATTAAGGGCGGTAAGTGTCTAAAGAAACTGTGGTGCTGCATTGGTGGGGGGTATTACAAGATGATTGAAGGATGTTTCAAGTGCTGAGGAAGGGTGAACACTTGAAAAATCAGCTTTGGAAACTCTTCATAGTGGTTGACTTACCTTATCAACTCAGTTGATAAAACCAAATCATCTAGGAAATTAAGCCTTCACTTTTTCCTTTGACCTCCAAATTGAGCATGCTACATTTTTTTTCCAGGTGGTCATACTTCAGAGATGCTAAGACTTATGGGGTCACTGTCCTCTTGTTATGAACCAAGGATCTATATTGTTGCTGAGACGGACAAAATGAGTGTAGTCAAGATTGATAGTTTTGAAAAATCCAAGAACAAGGAAGATGAGAATAAATCAGAGGTACTGGTACATGCAATGTAATCATATCATAGAATAATGATATCTTTATATTTTCATAGTTATCTTTATTGAATGAAAACATAACTCCCTTAAGACACTTTTATTTATGTCTTTTTCACACAGTTTAGAATTGTTCAAATTCCACGCAGTAGAGAGGTCAGTCAATCGTGGCTATCTACAATCTTTACAACTTTAAATGCCTTGACATTTTCATTTCCTGTTGTGTTACAAGAGAAACCAGATTTGGTGAGTACTTGATACAAGTATTTCCTGCCACAGAATAAGATTTCCTGTGCTAGGTGTTAAGGCTTTAGGTTCAATGTGGCCTTTTCTGGCAGCTGTTCAGACTTTCCCTGCATTTTATTCAACCCTTTGAGTTTTACAAGCAAGCGTGACTAACATCTACTTATTCCTTACAATATCACCCTCTGAATCAAACATTATGGTCACAAGATTAAAGGAAATGATCACCAACTAAAGAAACTCTTGATTTTTCAACAAATTCTCCTTGTCAGCACCTTAGGAAATATATAGAGAACAGTATGGAGAATATATGTTGTAGGTCAATTTGTTCTTTAGGTAAATTTGTTTCAAACTAGCTTAATTTGATCTCAACCTAGGTCAGTTGCTGATGTCTGTCTGTCTGTCTGTTTTTATTTTGGCTGTGTTGAGATGTCTGGAACCTGAAATTATTTTTAAAATACAGTCAAACCTCCCATAAGTGACCTTTCAGACATCTCAACACAGCCGAAAAAAAAACAAAAAAACAGACAGACAGACATCAGCAACTGATCTAGGTTGAGATCAAATTGACCTAGTTTGAAACAAATTTACTTAAAGAACAAATTGACCTACAACATATACTTACTGATGTTAGGGTGGAAAGGGTTGAGAATCAAGCTTTCCAGCATGTTTATAAAGTTCTTCTCATTATACTAATGCCCGCAGAAGAATCACGGAGTGCCTTTGTCCAAAAAAAATCTGTAGTCCCAAACTGCAAAACCTTCCACATAAGCAAAGTGAGATAGGTTGCTCAAGAAAAAATTTAGTTCCCTAAGGTGCTGAGGTGCTATTTAACAGAACAGCCTCTGAGTCTATTAAGTCAGCTACAATGTATAATACCTTGCAATACCTCTTTTGCAATGCAATTTTTTTAATTTAAAGATAGAATGTTTTTTTTCCCTCCAGATTCTGTGTAATGGTCCAGGGACATGCATTCCGATTTGTGTGGCAGCTTTTGCCTTAAAAGTAAGAAAGTTTGTGTCAATCTTCATTTACATATACATGTATAACAAATTGATGTGCTAATCAGATAATGTGGTAATTTTCATAATTACTTCATCCTCTCCAGTCAAAATTCTCTTTTTTTCATGTTGTGTAAAACAAAGCAATGAATAAAAATACATTTTAGCACTTACATGTGGTGATCGTTATGCACCTAAATATTGTATTGAGTGATTTTTTTGGTTTGTTTCTTTCTTTTTTCAGGTTTTTGGTATAAGGGATATCACCATGGTGTTTGTTGAAAGTATCTGCAGAGTAAAGACACTATCATTATCAGGGAAAATATTGTACTGCTTTGCAGATTATTTTATTGTTCAATGGAAACAGCTTCAAACAATTTTTCCTAAGTCAATTTACCTTGGAAGGCTGGTATAAGAGTTGCGGAGGCTTCAACTGACTGAGGTGACTTGTGATGACATTGTCATACTCACAGCCAAATTGGACAAATTCAATTGTTTTCTTTTAGTTGAACATTTCTGACGAGTGGGAACTGTAGAAAATTCATTGGTGAATTGTAATAATTATTTAAAAAAGGTCATATGAATATGAGAAATATAAAAATATGCAGTCAAATAAAATTACACTTGATGCACTTCAGACACTTGGTGAGCCTTTGTGTTGTCTTTATTTAGCCTATTGACTCCTAAGAGTGACTGGCATCTTATTTCTCCTTACAGTATCACCCCTGAATCACACATTAAGGTCATGAGAATAAAGGAAATGATCAGCATAAGAGTGACCAGCATCTAATTTCTCCTTACAGTATCACCCCTGAATCACACATTAAGGTCATGAGAATAAAGGAAATGATCACCTACTAAAAAAGCTCTTGATTGTTTAACAAATTCTTCTTAATGACACCTTAGAAAATGCTTGGATAACAGTATGGAGAATATCCCTACTGATGTTAGAGTTGTAAAGGGTTAATCCCTTAATTTTCCTTTACTTTCCGAGTGACTTCTTTTACGGGGATATTCAACAAAACTGAACTCCATCCAAATTGTTTCTCATCTTCATTATTTTTTCTTGCTTTCCACTAACATGTAAGCACTGATTGCTACCAAGACACGTTCTCTGCACCCAAAGGTTAACCGGCTGGAATCTGGGATGAAAGGTCTGTGTTCAAGATGTAGCAAGGTCACTGGGTTGCGTTCTTGAGCAAGACGCTAAATCACATGGTACCTCTCTCCATGCATGGGTGTATAAAGGGGTACCAGCAAACTGGTCGTGCCTCAACTTTGCTAATACTCTTTGGCTGGTCCACTGCACATTTTTGTGTTATCGTCTTCGTTGATTTAGTAACAGCAATGAAAAAAATCATCGCGAAGGAGCAATAGGCTCCCTAAAGAACGATACACGATACTATGGTCGGATTTGGACTGAAATGGACCATGAAAAAAAGGAAAACTTGGTGAGCTGGTTAAATTTATTTTATCCACGCATTCCTTGTGCTGGTAGCGTGAGATATTTAATTTTTCACGTTTCAAAACCTCAAAAAACAACGACAAAAAAGATTGAAAAGGAAAATCTCAGAATGCAGGGCAATATAAAGAATGCGATCAGTGTTCATCGTCAAAATCGGTATTTTTACCCTTCTAAATCCACGAGTTGAAACAGAAAGCCACTTTATCTTATATCCATTATTGCGTGACTGACCGGAAATGCTAGAATGCGGCGCGTTCCAAATTTGGCAGACGATCGATGACGTAGCTTTTGCTTTTCAACTTTGGTCTTGTAAAGAAGTTGCTGACTGAGCGGAGTTGTATCAAATAATTTTTTTTTATGCAGTGCTCCCCCTGAAACATCTCAAAACGGCGTCTATTGGTGAGTGTAGACCTATTAGCACTGGTGTTTATGCTTGTGTAAGTTTCGACATGTTTATGTGATTTGGACAGTTGGATTTATAACGCGATTGAATTGGCACCATGGCAGAAACAAGAATTAGAAGTGTCTTTAAATATTGGAAGCTAACTTCAGCGTAATGTTCCGCTTGTGTGTGACTGTGGGCATTTCGTTTTCGAAATGTACAGATATAATACATTTCTTTATGTGCTTAGGATGGCGAAAGTATTTTTCGCCTTAAAGTGAGCTTGTTAATCTAAGATATTTTTTGATTTGGAAGTACCGAGTCTGAGCAAGCCGGTGGTCTTTAATTGAACTGGGTTGTCTCTCAGATCAATAAATGAACGTTATATTTGGAGTCGTCATCCTAAATGCTTGCCTGCCGTAAAGAGTATTTGTGTCAGAAATTGTTGCACAAACTTACGCTTAATTTATCAGAAGTTCTATGTGAACGTTTGTCGTATTTCGATATGATTACTGTTTGAATTTCGCAGTTGGTGGTCTACAGCAGAGCACGTACAAAGAAAATTTTTTCGACTAGGCAACGACTTTATGAAATCCTTAATTCACGTTTACAATATTCGTTTAAACATACTCTTTTTTGCTCTAAATAGGAAATTATTTTTATCATATTAAATACGAAACTATTCGTGTTTTTTGTTTTAATCTAGGATGAACTAGCATTCCGCTTCAATAAGCATTTCCGCTCCAATTGGCCTTGATCACGAATTTAGTGAATCAAAATCACGAATCCTTCGTCACCAGCGAACTAATAATTTTCTTGTTCCTTTGTTATCAATTCCTAAAGTTCTGCATGGGCAGATCAACATCTGCCAGTTTCTATACTGATAGGCAGGCTAATGTTACTTTTTTGAACTTTTACTTATGCAGCAAGTATAAACTTGCCCACCGTTCATGATAAAATTGGCAACACATTTTTTGTTTGAGAGGTGCGCAGATCTTCTTGTATTTCCACGTGCAAATTGCATTTCAATAATTTATAGTCCGTAAATTTGAATAAGCTGAGTGAAATTGCAAAATTATATTTTTGTTGAAATATTTATGATTTTTGGTGTTCACAAGAGGGCAGTCACCAAATAGTTCACATTCACCTTGATAGCAACAGGCAATGTTTAGATTCAAAGGTTTGTATTTTTGACCTTCATATAAATTTATCCAAGCAGTTTGTTGATCACAAAACAAACATATATTAAATAAACATTTCAAGCAAGATCTAAGTTGTAAGTTTAGCCTGTATTGATTGGGGGTAAGATTCTGTTTATGATAATTACCCATGGTTTTTGCCATCCAGAAGAATAGGAATTTAAATTATGTTTTTCTGTTAGACCAAGCTATTCATAAATTTTAGTACTCTCACCAAAATAGAGAATTGGTAATATTGTTAAAATTCTGTGTTATTTATTTTTTTGAAGAATTCAAGACTTAATACTTCATAGGGAGCAAGAATTAAATACATGTGTGATTTTTCCATTTAAGCTGTAAGCTTGATTAGTTTAGAGTATTTTTTGTCTGATTCTTAGATGCTCTGAAAACAATTCTTAAATTGCTAACAAGTGGAAACAACAACAAAAACATACTCATAACATTTATATACTTTAACCTTACGCTGGAAATGAAGGAGTGATTTGCGGTGTGCAAATCCGCTAGTTGTTGACTTATATGGTTCCCTGATCTGTTAATCCAACATTGCTTTTTATTTAAATGGGGATCTATAGCATTGGTTGTATATTTTTTCTTTTCTTCTCTCAGAAAAGTGTCTAAATTAGGCTCAACCTTTTCTGTCTTTATTTTTTTTTTAAAGAAATGGGGTATACAACATTAGTAGCCCAAGTGCAAATCAGTTAGGGTCTGTAAGCCTGGAAAGACTTTGTACTTTCTCTAAATACTTAAATTTAATTATATCATAGTCAAAATTCATAACTTTATTTGACTGCATTTCTCCTTCTAAAGAGTTTATTTTTGTTCCTTTGGGAGCTTTTGATTGAAAATTTCAGATGCGCTTACTGGAGACTTGTGGTAAATCAAATAAAGTTTCTAATTATAAGTAATATATTTATATCACTTATTTGTATATTTGGGGAGATGGCAGTCCAAAAACCAAAATATACCAAAATGAAGTTTACAATGGGGATTGATTGAAAAACAAGAACAGGGCTTAGAACATTGTGTCAACATCATGAAAGCTAAACAAACAAACACAAGAATTTGAGATGAAATTGCATGAATTCATGTGCATTCTTAATAGAGAGTGACCATATTATTTTACTAATTATATAATGAGCTTTCTTACACGCTTATTTGATTGGTTTTTATGATCTGTTGAAGGACAGATACCTGGGTGACATTGAGCATTAACTTTATGAAGCAACTTTTTTGCTTCATTTTGATGAGAGAAATACGATAGATTCCATGTTACAGTGGGTTTGTTTAGTAATACATGTAGATTGCAATTAGAATGTAATAATGTGCTCAGACAATTGCTGACACACTCAGCTGTGCCTCACATGCTACTCTTTTGTACTTACCACATTTTAATGTCATCAGGTTTGTGGTCTACTTCAGAACAGACACACAGTGACAATGAATCAATTGTTATTTATGTACATGTTTACTTTCAAATGAAATATCTTTTGTTGGCACGTCTAGATAAAACATATTCATGAGATATAATATGTGCGTAATGCCTGATGTCTCTTTGTCTTTTATGTCTTGGCTGTAGATTCCCGTCCTCTTCACAGAGGCTCCCCAATGGCTTCCCCTCATAGGAACTCCCCTGTATCCTTTGCACATAGCCCTTACCGAGGTGACAGTGAGAGCAGCATTGTAAGACGTCAATATCTTTTTGCTGATGTTGCGCACAGTAAGGATCTGGTTACTGCCCTGAAGTCATTGCGTGGAGATGAAGACCTGTGTGATGTAGTACTGAAGGTGGGCAGTACCAGTATATCAGCTCATAGAGTTATTTTGGCTGCAAGTAGTCCCTATTTCAAAGCTATGTTTACTGGTAAGTCATGTGCTTAGCAAATTTAGCTATCAGAGGTTTCATTATAAGGCAGTCTGGTTCCTTCATACTACTGTAGATAGTACTTCACACTTTGTTGGGTAATGTGCTAGAGTTGCCAATAAACTTTCCACTGTTTTCGCTCAAGAAAAGAAAATACCTTTACTTGCCTTACTAAATGGAAACTTGATCTCCAAAATAACTTTATTTTGCCTTAAGAAATAGATTAAATACACTAAGGGGAACAAAAGTTATGTTTCAATTGTGTTCCTAATCAGATAACTCAAGTAATCCACTGTTCGGTTGTGTAAAAATTGCATACACAGGATACTTTTCAAAACACGCTTGGAATGCTCGCTCAGCCTTCAAGAGGCCGGTAGTCCTTTGGCACCCAAGTTTTATAGCTATTTTGTTTTAATTACCTGTGGCAACCTCATCCTTCAAAACTTAAATTTGAAAGTGCTGTGGTTATGCACTCTTGCTTCCTTGCATTAGATTTAGATCTGGCCAAATAATCAATCTTGCGACCTAGTTTGATTTTAAATATTTGTCGCCTGAGGGATAAATTTGTTCCACAGGCAACACATTGCTGAAGCATGTGTTCAGACTGTGCCTGTAGTGGGCATAGTGCAGTTACTTTTGTAGCCCTGGTCAATAAAGCCAGTGATAAGCAGCTACAAAAAAGTCATGTAAGAGTTGCTTTGCAAAGAAAAAGAACAAGAATATCTTTTTCAGTTGACTTAAAAATGAATGAATTAACAATTACTGAAAATTTTTATATCTGACTGAGAGTTTTTGAGGGTATTTACATGCCTGTTGCTGGGGTTTTGTGGGATAAAACAAAGTGCAAATGCAGATGGCAAAAATTATGGTACTTGCATGGGATGGCTTGGGTTACATATGCCACATTATTTCCTTTTATTTTTAGTCGATCCTTGGGCTGTGCGAATAGCAACAACGCACTCAAATTGGATGTTTATCACTGAATTTTGTTATATTTTTGTAAATTTATCCAAAGTAATTCAAATATTATATGCCTGATACATGTACCTCAGAACCTTCAGAATAGCAATATTATTTAGAATGGGTATGTTTCAAAGGAATAATTATGGTAGAGCACTTCCAGTTCAGATAATTCTGATAAAACCCTTTGACCCCTTGACCATCATCAAATTTCTCCTAAGAATATCATTCCAGAATCTCACATTAAGGTCAGGAGAATAAAGAAAATAAAAAGGAATAAAGGAAAGCTGGTTTCTAACTTAGAACAGACTCCCCTCAACATTGGTGTCAACCACTACTGGCTTCATACAAATGACAGGACAGTAACATTACAAACAAACTGAACAGAACGACCTAACTTTACAAACAGGTTGAAACAGACCAATCATGACTGACTTACACTACTTGAGTCTTCCAGCCAATAACATTATGGCAGAACCGAGCGATCATTTTACACAAACTGGACTAAGAACATTCTACTGAAAACAACTATCCACTTGACTCTGATGATGAGTTCTGCACAGGTTGTCAAAAGGTCAGTCACCACCACCAACAACAGACCTTCTCAGGACTACACACACCCGGACAATCACACTACATTTTCACGCGTTAGCCCCAGGTTCAAACCATGTACTGTAGTGAAGGAAATGATCATCAGATAGAGAAGCTTTTGATTGATAATCATATTTTCCTTGGCATCACTTAAGGAAATGTATAGAGGACAGTATGGAGAATATGCATATTGATGTTCAGGTGTAAACAGTTTGTTACTTTGCAGATACACCTGTACATGTATGAACTAAATGTAGACCTGCAACCAGTTCCTGACATACACTGTAGACAAGTGCAGTTGTCTGTGACAGTTCTGAATTAATAAGAATGAAATCCTCATTGTTTCTTCGTAGGAGACCTTTCAGAGAGTCGACAAAGCACAGTTACTTTACAAGAACTTGATGAAAGTGCCATGGAAGCTATTGTGGACTTCTTCTATAGTGGTGAAATTGAAATATCAGAGAGCAATGTCCAAGAGCTTTTACCAGTGACTTGTATCCTACAAGTGCAGTCTGTACAAAAAGCATGTTGTGATTTCCTCGAAAGACAGCTGAGCTCAGAGAATTGCCTTGGTGAGTTCTGACACAAGAGTATTGACAAAGTAGTTTGTTTATTTTAAATAAATCGGTTAGGGAGAGTTTCAATTTGTTATCCCTTCGTGTGGGTTGGAGTTAACATTCAGCAAACAAGTGGGTTTACTTCGTGTTGAGATCTTAATGTTGAGATTTGCATATAGCCTTTCAAAGTACACTGTAACATGTCACATTGTCTCTCACGGCTAACCACAGAAGAATTGGTGTGGACGTACATGCATTGTAAGTAGAGGATCTAGATTGTCTACATGGCTGAGTCTCTCAATTCAGAGTTTGGTGCACCAACCACATGAAGATCACTGTGTCTTAAAGACAGATCTGTTAAGAGAGGAGTTAACCCTTTACACTTTAACATCAATTGCAGGGGTTTCATTAAGGGCCTGGGCACCAGGCAAATTGACCAGTTGTGGGGATGATTTTGCCCACCAGGTTTGACAATCAGGAGGGAAGTTTATCTTATAATGAAGTTCACTGATTCAAAAAGGTTTGCCCGCCTATGAAAACCAGTTGCCCTCCTGCTGAAAACGTGAATGAAACCCCTGCAATCATAAGCAGTATTGTCTCCACACTGTTCTCTTTGCATTTCTCATGGTACCTATAAAGAGAATCTGTTGAACAATCAAGAGTTCCTTGATTTTTCAATGATTTCCCTCACTCTCTCTTTACCTTTTGATGTATGATTCAGGGGTGATACTGTTGGAAGAGATCAAATGCGTCTTACCCTCAGGCGTTAACTCTTCAATACCCAAGATCTAATTGTTAATTCTCCCCTCTAATTGCTACACATTTCCTTGTAAGTGAGTTAAGAGAATCTGATGTTAGATCAAGATAACAACTTGTACCTGATAAGTTTAGGTATTCTCATTACCTGTTCGCTGGATATTGTATGGATCTTATGGGGAGAAGTTACTTGTTAATCACTTCTGGGAGTTAAAGGGTTAAAGTTTAGAGGTATGAACGCAATCAGAGGAAGGTAATCACACCAATGATAACTTTGTTGTTGGTTCTTAGGGATCAGTGCCTTTGCGGATCGTCATAATTGTACAGATTTGGTGACGTCCTCGGAATCATTTGCCCGATATCACTTTCTTGATGTTGTTCAGAGTGAGGAGTTCATGGAAATATCCTCCAGGCAGCTGACACGACTTTTGCGTGATGATGACTTGAACACTCAGTCTGAAGAAAGAGTCTTTGAGGCTGTATTAGCTTGGATCAAGTTTGATGTGGATGGGAGACAGGTACGTACGTGTACATGACTTGCTTTAGGTTTAGGTAGCCTGGTAACTTTTGTGAACTGTAGCACCCTAACATCAGTATGCATATTCTCCATACTGTTCTCTATACATTTCCGAAGGTACTGACACAGTCAGGGAGAATTTGTTTCACAATCAAGAGCTTCTTTAGTTAGTGATCATTTTCTGTAGTCTTAAGACCTTGATGTGTTATTTAGGGGTGATATTGTGGGGAGGAATGAGGTATTTATGACATGGCTGTGCTCTAAGAAAAATCGAAGGCAGCCCAGAAACTGTGAAATCCAGGGTGCCCAGCATATGCTTTTTATAAAAAAAACTAAGATTTCTGAGTCGCCCAAGAGCAAAAGTAAGGCGCCCGGGGCCACTGGGTGCTGTTAGACCACAGCCCTTTATGTTATTACAGTGCCGCTCAACAGTTGACAGTCGTGACTCGAAGCTCGATCCTGGAAACTTTCGAGAATCGGGGATCGAGAATCGGGGCGTCCGAGGAACGTTTCGAGGATCTCGATCCGCAGTTTTGAGGAAACGATTTAATTCTGGCACGAAAAACAGTAGCGAAGGACAAAGTTCTTTACATGCTGTTGAATGCAACAGTATTAAAATTAGAAGCAATCGTAACTTGGACATTTGCAGTTTGATTCGCTGTAGGCAGTTTGCTCCTTTTTACATCCAATTTTTGTTTGCTTATTGAGATTTATTTTTGACTTGCAGTTGTGATTTCTTTGGTTTAGCTTTATGACACAGTCGAAGAGTAATATTTTATTTTCCAACATGCAAATACTTTAATCCAATTCAATTCAAATTAAATTTGCTTTAGTTTACACGTCCAGAGAGTATAGATATGAGTATCAAAAACATAACATGAATCAATACATCTACGTTGTAACAATCAGTAAGGGGATTTTCCTTTATCCTTTTTTTTTTTTTTGTTTTCACAGAAATTTGCCGCTGAAATCCTGAGCAATGTGCGGTTTCCTATGCTGTCTCCGGAGTTCTTAATGGATCGAGTTGCAACTGAGGAAATTGTTAGAAACGAGAGAACTTGCAGGTAAGATCCAGCTTTTTAACTACAATAGTATGACGCAAACATCTGTCAGACGAGTGCTTTACTAGGAGTCCAACCTTAGCTTTTAGATCTTTTAGAGAGCAAAAAAGGTTTTTTTGGGTGGATGAAATACATGTAATGATATGCTTTTGTCTTGATTAATTATCACTTCGTATGCTCCCAGCAGATAATAACGAACTCGTCACAGTAAAATTACATTTTACATCTCCTTCTTTGAACGAACCTTACTCTTTACTCTCTTACATATCATTTTATGCGTAATTTACAGGCGCACATTGACAAAAGGCATCCACCCCTCCCTCCCTGCCAACAAAAGCTACCACGAGAAACAACAGATAGAGTTTTGAAGAAAATCTTAGAACAAGTTCAGTTTGTATTTCCGAACAATTATCGTGAAATTTAAATGAGTCATGAGTGACCTTGTAACTCACGAGGAACTTGGGGTGTTTTTACTGAGTAATTCGAGAACATTTAAGTCTTGATCGTTGCTACAGGGGATCTCCCTCCCC